CCACCGTAGTTGGTGAAGAAGATGATGCTCTTGACGCCCGACTTGCGCAGTCTTTCCACGCGCCCGGCCACCTCGTCCGGCGTACCGAAGAGAATGACCTTCTCCGACATATCGTCAAAGTCAAAGGTTGTCTCGGCGGCGAAGCGGCGGCGGTAAGACTGGTAGTTCTCGGGCAGCAAATCACCCCGGCGTTCGGGGGGAGCGCCCACCTCGTCGCCGGTGGTCTTGAACCACATGAAGGGCTGCTCGGCGTCCTCGCGGACCTGCTTCCTGGTGGGAGCCGTGTACATGGCGCGGGCCACCTTGACGCTGTAGGGGTCAAAGTCATTGCCGGCTTCGCCCACGGCGCCCTTGAAGTAGGCCACCTGGTCGCCCACCTGGTCAAAGGTAAGGCCCTGGCCCACCAGCAGATTCCAGCCATTCTGGGCGATGCGATCCATGCTGCCCGGGCTGGCGGCGGCCACCCAGAAGGGCGGGTGCGGCGATTGTACCGGCTTGGGAAGCACCGTCATATCGTTGAAAGTCCAGAATTCGCCGCGATGGTCGAAGGGTTCATCAGTGGTCCAGGCGCGGGTCATCACGTCGATAGATTCCTGGAACCGGCGGTCGGCCTCGTCCATGGGAATGTTCAGCTTGTGGAACTCGCCCCACTGGTAGCCGCGGCCCACGCCCAAGTCCAGTCGCCCGTTGCTCAACAGGTCAACGGTGGCGGCCTCCTCGGCAATCTGGATGGGGTTGTGGAAGGGCAGGACGGTGACGGCGGTGGCCAGACGGATAGTGCTGGTCAGGCCGGCCAGGTAGGCCAGAACGGAAAGGGAGGCGGAAACGATGCCGTGCCGGGAAAAGTGGTGCTCGGTCATCCAGACCGAGTCGTAGCCCAACTGCTCCGCCCAAAGCACCTGCTCAAGGGCATCGCGGTAGTACTGGTTCTGCCTGGCGGGGTCGGGCAACTGCACCGAGTGAAAGAGGCCGAATTTCATGAAAAGTCACCTTTGGTTCAATTAGGAGTTACGAATTAGGAATTACGAATTGGGTGCTGGGTTGGAGGCAGGTTCAATCGGAATTCCCAGTTATGCTTTTGATTTACAGGGCCTGCCAGTAGCGGCGGCCCTCGGCGCGCACCACCTTGCCGAAGCCGGGGTAGGGGAAATGACCGATAATGCCCAGGATGTTTTCGGTTTCCAGCTGGTCCATCAGCTTGTGGCGGGTCATACGGGTCTGCTCTGGGTCCATGTCGGCCCGGGATTCCCAGTCGGGTTCGTTGACCTGGGCCTGGTTGTGGATGGCGTCGCCAAGGATGATGGCGCGCTCGCCCTGGGAGTTGACCATGATGCTCATGTGGCCGGGGGTGTGGCCGGGCGTCGGGAAGGCCGTGAGTTCGCCGGTCAGGACCTGTTCCCCGTTCATGAACTCGATCAGCCCCAAGTCCTCCAGAGGCCAGACGGTGGTGGGAGCGTTGGGGAAGCGGGTGGGCATGACGTCGGGGTTGTGGCAAGCTTCCCAGTCGGTGGAACTGAACCAGTAGCGGGCGTTGGGAAAGGTGGGCGCGTACTTGCCGCCGTCGCTGGTCGGTGGGACCAGGTTCCAACCCACGTGGTCGCGGTGCAGGTGGGTCATCACCACCATATCAATCTCGTCGGTGCGGACGCCGTGGGACTGGAAGTCGTTCATCAACTCGCCCCAGGGAGTTTCGGGGGCGTCGGCGGGACGGGCGCCCATGCCGGTGTCCACCAAAATGGTGCGGCCCTCGGACCGGATGAGGTAGGAGGCCAGGTTGAAGCGGACCTTGTGCCCGTCAACGAGGTGCTGCCGGTAGCCCTGCCACTCGTCGTCGGACTTGTGGTTGGGGAAAAAATTGCACAGGTCAAATTCAAGAATACCGTCGGACAGGGAAGTAATTTCCACGTTCCCCACAGTAACCCGATTGCCGGCCATATGACGCCTCCTGCTAAGGTGGACTAGGGGCAAGCCGGGGGTAATTGTAGCATAAACCTGCGCCTGCTCTCCGCCGGCATTGTGAAGGCCGTGGCTTAGGGCCCTATTGGGTTTTGTCCACGAATAAGGAGCTGAAAAAATTTGTTTTCCCGCCATTTCCGCTCATTTTCCCCCATTTTATAGCTGGGGTGGTGTTTCCGGTGGCGGGGTTTCTGCCACGACAGGGCAGACACACAGGTGTGCCTCTACCTACGTGAACTGAAAGGGGGAAGGCGAATGATCCTGGGCGGGCATATCCCAGCGGAACCCTTCTAGGTAGCCACCGGTTTCGGCCCAAGGCAGCGGGACGCTTACAATCTGGCGAGGTTCGGGAATGTTGCCCGATTCTTTGCACCTTTTAAGGTAGTGATGGAAGGACGTGTAGGTATAGAGGCGGAAGCCGCGCTGGGCTATCCGCCAGATTATGGTATGCGATTCAGGGGCCTCCTTGCCGTCGGCAACGGTGGCGTTCCAGTCGTGGAAGATTTCCTCGGCCATGCGGCGGAGGCGGTAGACGGCCAGCTCTTTAGCGTACTTGCGTTGCAGGGCCTGGACGCGGTTTCTGATCTGGGACAAGGTCATGGGATTGCCTCCTGATGTTTTTTATCCACGAAGGGGCACGAATATTCGCTAATTATATTTTGTTTTTCCTGCCATTTCCGCTCATTCCCCCCCCTTTATGGTCTTGACGCCGGATTTTTGGAGAGTCGTGGGGTTGGACTCTTTTATGGTAGGGATGGGTAATGCTGGATGGGAAGGGGCGCGTGGCATTAGTTTGGGTGGGGGCTTGTTCGCGGAGGGTCGGGGAGGTTTAACGAAGAAATGCTGAATACGTCTTTGCTGGCGAAGGAGATTGGTTCAGGCTGGTTGCTATGGGGTTGCTACAGGCACGTGCTACTGGGAATCTCTTAAGAGATACCAGAACAGGCACTGTTAACAACTTTAACCCTGGCCTAGTAGTTCTGCCTGCTGTCCAGCCATTCGGCGCCTACGTGGTGCTTTTCTGAAGGTCGCTTGGGGAGCGAGACGGGGATACTGGGCTTGTTTCCCATTCAAGAGATCTTCAATAGTCAGTATTTGCACCCGAGGAAACTTTTGCCCAGGAAAATATTCAGGTTCGTAGAAACCGGCGGCGATGGCGTCCTGTTCCATTGGGCCAGTGGACGGTGACAGGGTTACGAACAGCCCGATTTCTGCCTTTTCCCGTTCCATGTCGCCTTTCAATGTTGCTATCATTCCCCGGTTTACGTGTCCGCTCTTGACTTGCACGATGATACGTTTGGGCTTGCCGCTGTTGTCGTCGAAGAAGTTGATATAGCCGTCAACCCCGGAATCGGCGCCCTTCTTCCGGTCATTGGCCGGCCTGGCATCCACCAAGCCCAAGGCCCACCACTCGAACTGATAGCGCCCATCATGTTCGCTTTCGACCGCTAGAGCTTTGGCACTGGCCGTGTCCTCGGGCACACCGATTATCTGATAGGGACGCAATTCTTCGCCGAAGCTGTCCCGTAAGCGGCTTTTCATTAGTGAAATAGCCAGGTGGGTTATATCGATGCCTATCCAGCGCCGGTTCAACCGCTCCGCCACGGCTACCGCCGTGCCACAGCCACAGAAGGGATCTAAAACCAAGTCGCCCTCATTGCTGCTGGCGTTGATGATTCGCTCCAACAGGGCCTCTGGCTTTTGAGTGGGGTAGTGTAATCTTTCCTGATCAGTAGTTGACAACCAACGTACATCGGCGTCGATACCACCTGCTCGACCAAAGACCGTTCCTTCGGAGTAGGGCTGGTAAGCCCAAATGTCGGGAACGGCTTGACCATCTTCAGGCTGGATGTAGTGCTCATATATTGGCCATGCTTGGCCTTCTCGAATCTTGATGTAACCTGATTCAAAGAGCCGATCCAGGTTTTTATGTTGAGATAATTTGGATAGGTCTTCGTTGGCATCCTCCAGAAGCCTGCCAGGAATAGCCCAATGCCGACCCTTGGCCGTTGGGTCAAAACCTTTCCACGGTTTACCAGACTCGCCGTTTCTCGTTCCTGAACCGGTCAAGACATTTCCATAATAGTTGGTCCTCCAACCCATATTGTCCTGTACAAAATACTCCTCAACATGACCCTTCATGTAAGGTCGTTTGATGCTGTTCCAGTTGTAACTATCAGTCTTGCCGTAGAACAGTAATGTGTCATGGATTGGAGCAAAGCGTTGAACTTTGTTGTGTGTTCCAGTTCTACGCCAAATTATTTCATTCCGAAAATTGACTGGGCCAAAGACTGCATACAGCAGTAGCTTCAAATAATGGCTGGCAGTCGGGTCACAATGCAAATAAATGCTGCCGGTGGGTTTCAAGACTCGGTGCAGTTCAACCATCCGCTGCGCCATCATGGTCAGATAGGCCATCATATCGTTTTGGCCCAGGAAGGAGCGCATCGCCGCCACCAGTTCCCCGACTTTGGCCGGGCCTTTGGTAACGACATCCTGATAGGCGTACTCCGAATCCAAAGTCCAGTGCCAGGTGTCCTCAAAGGCGGTAATCTGGGCTGCCGACTGCTCACCGCTCTTTTCCTGGAACAGGACGTTGTAGGTGGCGTTGGAGTTAAAGGGTGGGTCGAGGTAAATCAGGTCAACGCTCTCGTCGGCGACGTGTTCTCGCAGGATGTTCAGGTTGTCGCCGAAGTAAAGCTTGTTGGGAGTGGCTTCGACCATTAACAGTCCCTCTGTGAAGTGAATATTAGAATTCTAGCAGACTATTCTGGATGATGTTACGCCCTGCTGTCATGAATCTGTGGCACCCACTCCCAATCCCGATTTCTGCTAAAATGCCCGCAACTTGGCGCGTACGGGTTGGGCTAAACCAGTACCGATGGGGACGTCGAATCTTTCCTGAATGAGTTCGGCCATTGCCTGGCGGCTCGGGTTAAGCGTGAGGTTGGAACCAAGTTACGTACTGGCCGGAAGGATGCGCGCAGGCCGGTTGAAGCATGATTGGAAGTTGCTGCTAAACAAACAATACTGGAGGTGCGGCTATGAAGGCTGCCGTTTTGCGAGAGGTTAACGTGCCCCTGGAAGTTGAAGAGGTGCAGGTGGACGCTCCGGGCCCGCGCGAGGTGCTGATCCGCACCGGGGCCAGCGGCGTGTGCCACAGCGACCTTCATTACGTTGAGGGCAGCTACTCCATTCCGAAGCCGGCGATATTGGGCCACGAGGCCGCCGGTATAGTTGAGGCGGTGGGCGAGCAGGTCTATTACCTGAAACCGGGGGACACGGTGATAATGTGCCTTTCCGTGTTTTGCGGACACTGCGAGTTCTGCCTGCGAGGGCAGCCGGTACTGTGTACCCGCACCGACGTGGTGCGCGGAGCCGACCAGGCGCCAAGATTGAGGCAGGACGGCCAGGCCATAACCCAGATGGCGCAGCTTGGATCCTACGCCGAGCAGATGCTGGTCCACGAGAATGCCTGCGTCAAGGTTCGGGAGGACGTGCCGATGGACCGGCTGGCCCTGATTGGCTGCGGGGCGACCACGGGTATTGGCGCTGTGCTGAACACGGCACAGGTGGAGCCGGGGAGCACGGTTTGCGTCGTGGGTTGCGGCGGCGTTGGCCTTAATTGTATCCAGGGTGCGGCGTTGGCGGGAGCGTTGCGGATCATTGCCGTGGACACGGTGGAGACGAAGCTGACGATGGCCCGGGAGTTCGGAGCGACGGACGTTATCGACGCCTCCAGCGGGGATGTGGTGGAGAAGATTCGGGACCTGACCGACGACGGGGTGGACTACTCCTTTGAGGCCATTGGCCTGAAGCAGACGGCCGAGCAGTGTTACCAGATGCTGCGTCCGGGCGGCACCGCCACGGTCATTGGCATGATTCCCGAGGGTACGATGATCGAGATTGACGCCGGCGGGTTCCTGCGGCGGGAGCGGAAGCTGCAAGGGAGCAGCATGGGATCCAACCGGTTCCGCACCGACATGCCGCGCTACGTGGAATTTTACCTGCAGGGGCGGTTGAAGCTGGACGAGTTGGTCTCGCAGCACATGAAGCTGGAACAGATTAACGAGGCGTTCGCCGATATGAAGGGTGGTAACGTGGCCCGCAGCGTGATTTTGTTTGACTGATTCGGGCTGGACAATCTGTTAAAGAATGCAGGGGCGGGTTTGTGAATCCGCCCCGTATCTTTTCTGCTCAAGTTTTCGGGAAATGCACCGGTCTCTATTGTCCGAAGACCGTGTCCTGAACGCCGGGGATGCCCAAGTTTTGAATTCCGCGGTCTTGCTGGCTTGGAGTGTCGGGCTGGTTGAATGGTGTGTCACTGTATCGGGTTGCTAGGTATTCGGCGAGGGCGTCCTGCTCGGTGCCGGGGGCCGCGAAGGTGGCGTGGCCTTCCCCTCTATCGGACATCGTGTCAATCAAATCAATCCTCCCAACCGCAGGTGAGGGGAACGGATAGTCGCCGCCGTCGGCCAAGTAACCCAGGGTTACTACTTTGATTGTCCGGTCGGGGTCGCCGACCAATTCGCCTGCTTGCACCACCCGGTCGGTTACTTCCCCGCTGTCGTCGACGATGGCTAACGACTGGATGCGGTCTCCCGCGGGTGCTGCTGGGTCAAAGCTGACGCGCATTCCCGCCACCTGGGGGAATCGACCGACCGATACTTGTCCCACGCCGTCGAACCCGATTGCGTGTTCCATGACATCAGTGAGTTGGGTTGCGGTCAGTTCCAGGATAGCCAGATCGTTGTTGAAGCGCAGGGAGCCCTGGATGTCCAGTTGGGAGATAGCGCCGGCCTCCTTGCCGACCTCGGGGTTGGCCTGAGGAGGCAGATACTGTACCAGGGCGGGATCGATGGTGCCGGGAGGCTGGACTATCAGGCCAATCTTGTCCCGGATTCCGCCGCTGTTCTTGATGGAGGCAGCAACTTCAGGATCGACCAGTCGGGCAACCCACAGGTTGGCGTCGGCGGTCAGATTGCCCAGGTTGGTCTCCTCGGTGCGCACTGAGCCACGAATGCCGTTGAGGTACACGCTGGTCTTGCCGAATACATTGCCGTCCCGCGCTTTCAGGACGCTTTGGAGGGATTCGGCTATCCTGGTTACTTCGGCCAGCGGAGTGCCCGCAAACTGATGGCCGCCCTGGGGGTTGGTGGCATAGGCTCCGCTGAGGTGGGGGTCAATGGAATCGGGGATGACGAGACCATCCGAGTCGAATTCAACAACGAGGCGGCCCAGGTACTTGTAATCGGCTTCGGTGTTGACCAGCAGCACAGGCTCGCCGCGGGCCGAACGGTACTGGAGGGGATAGCTGCCGGACGATACGTCCACGGGCCACAGGCGGTCGGTCTCGTCGGACAGGAGAGTGTTTGAGCCACTGGCCACGATGATGTCCACGTCCTCCAGCAGGATTGCCAACTCCTGCTGGATGGCAATTTGCTGCATGTGGGCCAGCAAGATGATCTTGTCGATGCCCTGTTCGGCCAGGCCATTAACAGCTTGCTGGATGATTGCCGCCAGTTCCGAGATGGCGGCGCGGTCCTGGGGCATTACGGTGATGCCGCCGGCGCTGGTGATGCTGGCCAGGGAGGGAGTGGTGGCGCCGCCGCCGATGCGCTCCCCGCTCACGGTGATGACGGCGGTGCCGGCCAGGCTGCCGGCGGCCAGCAGGGACTCTTGCCCGTCTGGCACTACCAGTGGCGCCAGGGCCTCGTCGTCCTTGAATCCCAGGTTGCTGGATAGATAGGGGAATCTGGCGCCGGGGTAGGCGCCTTCTTCCTCTGCGTAGGCGATGATTTCGGCGAATGTTCCGGTGCCCCGGTCGAGTTCGTGGTTGCCCACCGCCGATGCCTGGAAACCCATGGCGTTAAGCAGGGCAATGTCAGCGCGACCTTCACCGGAAACGCCCAGCACCGGGTCATTGGCGCTGTCGGCGGCGGCGAAGTAGCGGGGACCGGGAATGTAGTTGTCGCCGGAACTCAACACCAGGTTGTTGTTGGGAAACTGTTTACGGAAGCCGTCCAGAATTGCCGAGAAATTCTCGACGTTGGAGAGGGCGCCGGTGGTTCCGTCCATATCGGCGGCGTGGAGCAACTGCAGGGTGAAGGTGGGCGCCCGGGCGGGTTCGTCCGGTGAGCCTGCGGGCCCTGGTGCTCCGGCGATTCCCTGGACGCCGGGCGGCCCTTGGGGGCCAGGATTTCCCTGAGGCCCTGTTTCGCCCGGGGCTCCAGCAGGCCCCTGATGGCCAATCGGACCCAGCGGGCCAGGGGGCCCCACCGGACCGGGTTCGCCGCTGGCCCCATCCTGCCCTGGTGGGCCGACCGCACCTGATTCCCCCGGTAGACCTTCGGGCCCTTGCGTCCCCTGGCAGGCGATGAGAGCCAGCATCGCCACAATAGTAAATGTCGCCAGCAGTTGCGCGGCCAGTCTTCTCCAAAGCTTGTAGCTAACCATTCAAGTCTCCGAGATTATGGAAGGCTTGCCTTATCTGATTATCGAACCTGCATTTAGAAACTATCGCATACCAGAGGTTGAGATTCCCGGTTTAGCGCGGAGGTGACTTTGTGCTGCTCATCACCCCCATCCCAGCCTTCCCCTGTCAAGGGGGAAGGGACTTTGACCGTCACCCGTCATGTGGGCTTTACCCGCTGAGGTGGAAGGGAGCTTTCGCCGCCGCCCCCATTCTGACGTTGCCCAGTTAATGGGGAAAGGAGGGTCGATGGATGGAAAGGCAGACACCAGTTTAATCGGGCGGCACGTTGTTTGAAATCCTGGCGGCCTTAAGGTTTGTTAAAGGCACTGACAAAGGTTGCTTACTGGTGTTGCGAGGCAGGGTTGGAGACTGGGGGGAGACCTGGCGGAGACGTGGAAGGCCGGGAAGCGTGGGGTGAGTAAGAGCAATGGGATGTTAGTGGCTCTTGGCATTACATAGAAAGGGGGGCGGGTCTCAGACCCGCCCCCGTGCTTGTGGCTCAACCTTCCCGATATGCGGGTGAGCTTTGGTTACGGTTCAGGTCACTCGGTGAACCGCATGGTGTTGCCCCGGAGGCGCGGCGCGTAATAGGGCTGCCATTCCATATCACCGCTTAGGCCATATACGTACACCACCTCGAAGAAAGGCAGGAAGATGGCCTCCTCGTGGGAGAAATCGGCAATCGCTTCCATGGCTGCGGTCCGTTCCGGACCTTCAGGAATGGAATTGGCTTCCGTCTTCCAGGCTTCAAATTCCGGGGTGCAGTGGCGACTGCTGCGGCTGAAGCAGCTGAGGCGGGAGTTGTTGAACCGCTGCATGTCGAGGATCTCGTTGGAGGTTGCTACCTCGTAGGCGTGGGACGAGACGTAGGCCGGTTCCGGCGGGTCCCGGTCGGCACAGTCCATAGCCGCCTTGTAGGCTGGGTCCTTAGTGAACTGTCCGCAGCCGGAAACCTGAATCCCACGGGCTGCGCCCAGGTCGCCGTGCGAGTTGAGATTGGCAGTGACACCAACATCCCGCCAGTACTGGATAGTAGCCTCCATAATTTCCAAGCCGCGAATGTTGGAGCCGGGCCGGGTATTGATGTTGATCTCATTTTCGGGGTCGTATCCGGCCTCTGCCAACAGCTGCCGTGCCAGCTCCGGATTGTATTCCCGCCACTTGGAGTTCTCGTCGGTAATACCCACCGTACCCTTCATGGATATGGCGTTGTGGCACGGAATTCGACCGCCGAACATGGAGTCTAGCAACGTCTCACAGTCCACGGCATGGGTTAGCGCCAAGCGGACTTTCTGCTTGGCCAGTTCTTCGTGGAAGACCGTGTCGAACACCAAGGTATAGACCTCGGCGGTCTTTTCCGCTGACGGTCTTGCCGCCAGAATTCACCACGTTATCCACTTCCTCGAAACCAATGTCGGCAGCCCAGTTGGCCTCACCAGCCTGGATCATTGCCGAACGCACCGGAGCTTCAGCCCGGTAGGTGTGGGTTAAGTATTGAATAGTTGGGGCTTGCGCGAACCAGTTTTCGTTAGGCAGGTAGTCCTCGTAGATTTCGAACTCGGTACTGACTCCCGGGGTGTATCCGATAATCTTGTAGGGTCCAAACCCGATGCTATTCAGTGCTTTTTCCTCTTCAGTGGCATTCTCGAACCACTCAGGGTCCTGGAAGTCAGAGAAAAGGGCGGTACGCGGGTAGATGGGGCATGGGTTGGGGCAGACCGCGTGGAAGGTCAAGTCATTGATCACTTCACCGGTCATGTCCGGTCCCGTCCAAGTTATGGAAGCGCTGGGGTTGGCCGGGAATGCGTTGTATTCAATGCCGTACTTGGCGGCGGCGGCGTTCCACGGCGCACCGTTGTGAAACTTGACGCCATCACGCAAATTGAACTGCCAACGGTCCAGATCAATCTGTTCCCAGCTTTCCACGCCGGACAGGGGGACTATCTCGGCGGTCCGGTCATCCAGCCAGGTCAGGAAGTCGGAAACAAAGTCGGTGCAGCCCATGCTGTGGATTTCTGCCGAACAGCCTTCACTCCACATGCCAATACTGGCCGGTTCGGCCTCGGTAACCACCACTGCGTGGTCCTTAGCGCTAACCGCCGCTGGAGGCGGAGCCTGAGTCGGCGCGGGGGCCGCAGTGGGAGCCGTCTCCTGGGCCTGGGGCTGTTCCTGAGTCCCGGAGCCTGACGACGAGTCGGTCATCGCCGGAGCCTCGGGCGCCGACGTAGCTTGCGGTATCATCTGGGGTGCGAAGGTTGCCGTAGGTGCAGCTTCCTGCTGCGCGGGTGCGGCCGGCGCGGCAGCGGGCTCTTCGGCTGCGCCACAAGCCACCGCCAACACCGCAATCAGGGGCAGTATTACTAATAAGCGGCCGTTAAAAAGTCTGCCATATCTTCTGATTAGTTTGCCCATAGCTGACCTCCCTTTGTTACGTTTTACGTAAAATAATTTTGCCTTATTGTATAGTGATTCGCACTCTCCTTAAAAAATTTTACTACATACGTATAGTAGTAGAAGTCTTATAATACATAAACGTCGCTCTGTCAATTGTCATTTATCAACTCTTCGAATAAATATTATTAAAGGCTTTTTGACTACGATTAGTGCCAAGTGGCTGACGACTAAAGGAGGCTGGGTTTGTGCTGCCGAGAAACTATCTCGGGGGCCGACGGTGAAAGTTGCAGGTGTGTTCAGAGGCGACCTTACACTGCTCATCACACCCAATCCACACCTTTCCTTATCAAGGAGGAAGGGACCTTTGAGATGGTTTCTTGGTGGTGGACGGCAGGGTTAATGGTTGGAAAGGCGGACCCGGTTTGACCGGGTGTGATGCTGTTTAAAGTCCCGGGGGCGAGGTTTGTTAAAGGCGCTTTCAATAGAAGGGGGCGGGTTTGCAAACCCGCCCCAATCACTTGCTACTGCTGACCCGTGTTGGGGGTCGGCTTGGAGATATGGACCGTGATCACTCGGTGAACCGCATGGTGTTGCCCCGGAGGCGCGGCGCGTAATAGGGCTGCCATTCCATATCACCGCTTAGGCCATATACGTACACCACCTCGAAGAAAGGCAGGAAGATGGCCTCCTCGTGGGAGAAATCGGCAATCGCTTCCATGGCTGCGGTCCGTTCCGGACCTTCAGGAATGGAATTGGCTTCCGTCTTCCAGGCTTCAAATTCCGGGGTGCAGTGGCGGCTGCTGCGGCTGAAGCAGCTCAGACGTGAGTTATTGAACCGCTGCATATCGAGGATCTCGTTGGAGGTCGCTATCTCGTAGGCATGGGAACTCACGTGGGCCGGTCCAGCGGCTCCCGGCTGCCGCAGTCCATAGCAGCCCGGTAGCCCTCTCCATACATCTCGGTGTTGGTAAACTGTCCGCAACCGGAATTCTGGATTTCGCGGGCCGCACCCAGATCGCCGTGCGAGTTGAGATTGGCATCAACACCAACATCCCGCCAGAACTGGATAGTAGCCTCCATGAGTTCCAGGCCACGGATGTTGGAGCCGGGCCGGGTATTGATGTTGATCTCATTTTCGGGGTCGTATCCGGCCTCTGCCAACAGTTGCCGTGCCAGCTCCGGATTGTATTCCCGCCACTTGGAGTTCTCGTCGGTAATACCCACCGTACCCTTCATGGATATGGCGTTGTGGCACGGAATTCGACCGCCGAAGAAGGAGTCCAGCATGGTCTGGCAGTCTATGGCATGGGTTAGCGCCAAGCGGACTTTCTGCTTGGCCAGTTCTTCGTGGAAGACCGTGTCGAACACCAAGGTATAGACCTCGGCGGTCTTTCCGCTGACGGTCTTGCCGCCAGAATTCACCACGTTATCCACTTCCTCGAAACCAATGTCGGCAGCCCAGTTGGCCTCACCAGCCTGGATCATTGCCGAACGCACCGGAGCTTCAGCCCGGTAGGTGTGGGTTAAGTATTGAATAGTTGGGGCTTGCGCGAACCAGTTTTCGTTAGGCAGGTAGTCCTCGTAGATTTCGAACTCGGTACTGACTCCCGGGGTGTATCCGATAATCTTGTAGGGTCCAAACCCGATGCTATTCAGTGCTTTTTCCTCTTCAGTGGCATTCTCGAACCACTCAGGGTCCTGGAAGTCAGAGAAAAGGGCGGTACGCGGGTAGATGGGGCATGGGTTGGGGCAGACCGCGTGGAAGGTCAAGTCATTGATCACTTCACCGGTCATATCCGGTCCCGTCCAGGAAATGGAGGCGCTGGGGTTGGCCGGGAATGCGTTGTATTCAATGCCGTACTTGGCGGCGGCGGCGTTCCACGGCGCACCGTTGTGAAACTTGACGCCATCACGCAAATTGAACTGCCAACGGTCCAGATCAATCTGTTCCCAGCTTTCCACGCCGGACAGGGGGACTATCTCGGCGGTCCGGTCATCCAGCCAGGTCAGGAAGTCGGAAACAAAGTCGGTGCAGCCCATGCTGTGGATTTCTGCCGAACAGCCTTCACTCCACATGCCAATACTGGCCGGTTCGGCCTCGGTAACCACCACTGCGTGGTCCTTAGCGCTAACCGCCGCTGGAGGCGGAGCCTGAGTCGGCGCGGGGGCCGCAGTGGGAGCCGTCTCCTGGGCCTGGGGCTGTTCCTGAGTCCCGGAGCCTGACGACGAGTCGGTCATCGCCGGAGCCTCGGGCGCCGACGTAGCTTGCGGTATCATCTGGGGTGCGAAGGTTGCCGTAGGTGCGGCTTCCTGCTGCGCGGGTGCGGCCGGCGCGGCAGCGGGCTCGTCGGCTGCGCCGCAAGCCCACCGCCAATACTGCAATCAAGGGCAGTATTACTAATAAGCGGCCATTGAATGATTTTAAGTGTCGCTTGATCAGAGTTCCCAAAGTTTTCCTCCAATTGTTACGAATAACGTAAACTTCTATTGCTTTATGATATTGCGCGTTCCATCCTCCTCGGTAAAACTTGCCACTTTCGCATAGCAGTAGCAGTCTTATATTACATAAATTTCGGCCTGTCAATTGTTTTCAGGAAGGTTTTCGAATGGGCATTATTGGAGGCATTTCGGCGACGATTAGTGTCGATGGACTGACGGCTAAGGCAGAGTTTGGACGGGCAGTGAACTGTGTGGTTTTGCGCTAAGCCCGAATCCACCGAAGGAGTGGAAATAAAGGGGTGCGGAAAGGGTGAGAGGGTGCTCCTCTGAATCTGGGATAAATGGTTTCTGATCATGAAACCGACCCGGAAGGAGTCACCTTTAGATGCTACCACTGAGCACCTCGACCGCATCCAGTCGCTTCGACGACCACCGCCTGGTGGCCATCCGGGCTGCTGCTCCGCCACCCTGGCCCTGCGCCTGGGGTTTGGTGAACTGGCGGACAAACACGTCGACCTGGGGATGCGCCGGGGCGGGCGAACGCGGGAGACAAGATGATGACCCTGATCGCCTCTGCGCTGGCGGGCGGCGACTGCATCGACGACGCCGATGCGTTGCGCGCCGGAGGAACGTGCCGGTGTTCTCGCTGTACTGGTCAGCGCCATCCACACTGGGCACTTTCCTGCGCAGCTTCCGGTGGGGGCCACGTCCGCCAGTTGGGACCGGGTGAGCCGCGAGTTGCTGGCCCGTGCTGGGCCGCTGGGGCGGGATCCCGGGACTTGCCCCGTTTGACCATCGACCTGGACTCCACCATCTGCGAACCTACGGGTTGGCCAAGGAGGGCGCCCGCATCATGGCTACACTGCCAGCGGGGCTATCACCCGCTGCTGGCCGTGGCCGCCGGAACCGCGTACGTGCTGATGGCCGCGGCTGCGGGAGGGCCGCGCCAACACCGCTCGGGCGCCGCCCACTTTCTACGGGAGACGGTGGGGCGGTGCGCTATGCCGGAGCCAGGGGTCACTCACAGTGCGGGCCGACAGCGGCTTCTACACCCATTCCATCGTGGTATCCGTCTGCCGCAAGAGAAGGTCCGCTTCTCCATCACCGTGCGCCAGCACGCCAGCCTGCGCAGCTCATCGAGGCCATACCCGACGCGGAGTGGACGCCCATCCCGTATGGATGGACGGGTGCTGCCGACGTGGCCGAGAGCTGAATACACACCTTTCCGTAGCGAGGCCCGATGCCGCGCCGGTGCGGCTCATCGTCCGGCGGGTGCAGCCCGCGCCCGGCTCCCAACTGGCCCTCTTCGCTCCTACAGCTATCACGGCTTCATCACCGACCGGGACGGGAGATGCTCGAACTGGAGGCCGACCATCGCCGCCACGCCGAGATCGAGAATGCGATACGCGACCTCAAGTACGGCGTCGGCCTGAACCATCTCCCCTCGGGGCGTTTCGCCGCCAACGCCGCCTGGCTGGCGGTACACAGGTGATTGGCCCACAACCTTGTATGGTACGTAGGGATGTGACAGACCGATCCAACCTGGGTTGAGGAAAACCGTGGGCCAGCAGGGTCGTCGCATCCTATCCTGATAGAGCCCGAACAGTTGCCGGGGCCAATTTGCGGCCCGCATCATGCAAGGAAGGGCCCGACGTTAACACAGGAGGTACCGATGGAAGGAGAACCGATGGAAAGAGAACCGAGATTCGTAGGCATTGATGTCTCAAAGGCGCAGGTGGATGTTGCAGTCCGGCCTACGGGAAAGAGCTGGTTGTGACTTACGACGAGACCGAATCAGGATTGGTCTCCCAGATGGTGGATCCAGGTCCGGCCATGGGTGTTGCTGGAGGCAACGGTGGTCTGGAACTGCCGTTGGTGGCCGCTCTCGCTGCTGCGGCGCTGCCGGTGGTGGTGGTCAACCCGCGCCAGGTTCGCGACTTCGCCAGGGCTACCGGTACCCTGCCAAGACCGACTCTCTCGATGCGGCGGTCCTGGCTCACACTCTTCGCCGACGGCCGTTCGTCCCTCGGTGCGCCCCCTCAGAGACGCGGAGACCCAGGTCCTCAACTCGCTGACTGCCCGCAGGCACCAGGTGTTGACCATGCTTGTCTCGGAAAAGAACCGGCTGGGTACTGCACATCAGCGCGGTGCGTCCCCGCATCGAATCCCACATCGCCTGGTTGGAACAGGAGTTGAGCGACTTGGACAAGGAGTTAAGGCAGTCTCTTCGCCAAAGTCCAGTATGGCGCGAGAAGGACGAACTTCTGCGCGCCGTTCCCGGCGTGGGGGAGCAGCTCTCTCTCACCCTGCTGGCCGACCTGCCCGAGTTGGGCACGCTGGACCGACGGCAGATCGCGGCCTTGGTGGGCGTGGCGCCCTTCAACCGGGACAGCGGTATCTTGCGAGGCCGACGCGCCGTCTGGGGCGGACGCTCCCGGGTTCGAGGCGTTCTCTACATGGGGACGCTGACCGCGACCCGTTACAATCCCGTCATCAGAGACTTCTACCAGAGGCTGCTGGCGGCCGGTAAGACGAAGAAAGTGGCCCTGGTCGCTTGTATGCGCAAACTGCTCACCATCCTAAACGCTATGGTCAAAAATAGCTCTCCATGGCGTGGTTCGTGTCCCGCAGAAATTGCCCATCCCTCTTGACAGCCAACACAGTTGCTGGCCCGCTGGACCGCCCGCATCGGTCTCGGTGAGCAGATCGTAACCACCAAGACCCTCCGGCGGCGCTTCTTCTCTATCGCCGGACGGCTCACCCGCTCGGCGCACCGCCTCACCCTGCATCTGCCACAGCGCTGGCCCTGGAAAGCCCAGTTCGATCGTGCCCTGGCCCGATTGCGCGCCTTGCCACTCCCTGCCTGACGGCGGCGGCGGCAACCGGCCGCCATCTGGCCAACCGAACGTCCCCGCCAACTCGCGCCAGTCCGGTCTGCGAGTGCCTCTTGCTGCGTCCTCGCCCCACTATCTCGCCCGGACCAACATCCGCAGAGAGTCACAATGTCTCCCCACGGCAACTGAAGACAGACACCGGCCCCCCTCTACCCCAAATCGTGCCCGGACCATCGCCCTCCCTTGCCCCTATCGCCCGTTCCGCTGCTGCATAGTCATCCCTTCGGTGGATTTGGGCTAAGTTGAGATTGCACTACCCGTTACCCCTATCCGGACCTTTGCTCGTCAATGGAGAAGGGAACTTGAGACGAGGCAAACGTATTTTAGTGGGTGTGATCTGCGAGGCGGGGTTGGATGAAGGAAAGGGGGAAAGGAACAACTCTTATCTGTTTTCCCATTATTTCCGCTCATTTCCGCCCATTGGTACTCGGTGACTGTTTGTAATTATGCCCTGTTCGTTGGGTGGATACTTAACGACGGCTCCCTCAAAGAAGCAAAGAAATACCGAGAGTCGGTCTTGAAGAACGTCCGCCTATGGAGAGACAAAGTGGGGGCGCATTTTGCTCAGACAGACGTACGAAATGACGATAGCTTCGCCGTTTGCGCCTAGAAAGTAATATTTCCAGTCGGGTTCCGTGATAGTACATTTTACACGCCCCCCTTCACGTTTAGCTTCTCGTTACGAAGTCGAGAACATTCCCGTCCGGACGGGATTGCCGATTGGTGCTGGCGGCTGTTGAGAAGGTTAAAGACCGGAACAATCAGCAGTGGGCCAGAAATGACTTAGAGCTTGACTCGTACTCACAGTGAGCTTTCAGAGCGGTATTCGCATCTGGTGACTAACCATGGCGGCCCGAATAAGCGAACGTATTCGGTACACCCGCCTTCGTTGTCCTCTATCAACCTTTACTGAAAAACCTGCTAACATTCGCTGATGAAATATGCGATTCTCGGCGTCCTTTCTCTACTCTTGGTAGGTTGCTTTAATCCCGCACCAACGCAGGAACCTATTCGGGAGTCCACACCGGAACCCACGGATGTCCCTGCCCCTACTCCTACAATAGATGGTGAGGTACTGAAAATAATTGAAAGCATTCAGCGGGGCGAGGCACTTAATACCCCGCCGTCGGCTGCGGCGTCTGGCTGTCAGATGTTCGCTGGATTGGCAAAGGATTTGGGAGTCCGCATCGTGGAGTATCGGCCGGTTGAGGAAAGGCAGGATTTACAGACGGAAATGTTCTTCGCTTTGTCGGATATTCAAACTGCCTTCGGCGATAATCTCCGGTTCGGCAATGCCGCCTATGCTCTGGCAAATGCAGTTGGAGGACCGCATCGAAAGGCTAACTTTAATAATGGATTGCTTGCGGGAAGGCACTTGGCCCGCCTCTGTACGGCTGGTCGATTCGAGAGTCCGTCCAACCCGGACATTGTGATTGAATTCGTTTGTCGAGGGTCAGACCTGGACCAACAGGCATCAGGTATATCGGAGACTTATGTCAATTTGGTGACTAACCCCTGTTTTACTGATTAGACCGAAGTAACTACTTCCCACTACTTCGATTTTCCGTTCCTCGCCTTCTTCTAACCTTTACTGAACAACTTGCACTTCTCTACAATGAAAGGCGCTGCTTGACAGGTTGAGTTGACCCCTGCTATTAACAGGTTATGAGAGAGACTGACTTGCTTATTATTGGCGCCGGCCCTTACGGGTTGGCCGTCGGTTCCTATGCGAGGAGGCTGGGGCTGGAGTGCCACGTGGTTGGGGAACCCATGGGCTTCTGGAAGAACCACATGCCCGACGGCATGCTGCTGCGGTCGCCTACTTCCTGGCACCTGGATGCCGTTGGAGAACTGACCTTCGAGAGATTCCTTGAGGTTAGAAGGTTGGCGCCTTTGCAGGTTTCTCCCATTCCCCTGGGGTTGTACCTGGACTACTGCCAGTGGTTTCAGGCAGAAAGCGGCCTGGAGGTTGAGCGGCGGTTGGTGAACAACCTGGAGTGGTCGCGCAAGGGCGATTCATCCTTCAAGGCTGTCATGGATGACGGCAGTGTAATTAAGGCGAACCGGGTGCTTGCCGCCACCGGTCTGACCCAGTACCAGAGCATTCCAAAGGATGTGGCGGAGCTTCTGCCACCGGACTGCTTTGTCCACACCTGCGATTGCGTGGATTTCAGTTCGCTTAAGGACAAGCGGTGCCTGATTGTGGGAGGGCGACAGAGCGCCTTTGAATGGGCCGCCCTGATTGGGGAGGAGGCCGGGGCGGAAATCCACCTGGTTTACCGGCATGACACTCCGGCTTTTACCGAGTCGGACTGGGACTGGATTGACGAACTGATGGAACGGACCCGCAGTTCCTCTGGCTGGTACGGCAGGCTGGAGGCAGCAGAGAAGGACGGCATATTCAAGCGACTCTGGGGCGAAGGAAGGCTCAAGCTGGAACCCTGGCTTTACCCCCGGATCCAGGAGGCGAATGTCCACATGTGGCCCAATACCCACATTACCGGTGGCCAGCGGTCGCAAGACGGCGTTGCCGTTACCCTGGACAATGGCAAGACCCTGGAAGTGGACCAGGTGATTTTCGCTACCGGATACCGGGTGGACTTGTCTCTTGAGCCTTACCTGCGCGACCCCAGCATCGCGGGACACCTGAAGTTGGAGGAGGGCTTCCCGAAATTGGATGAGTCCTTCCAGTCCAGCATTCCGGGGCTGTACTTTACCGGTCAAACGGCCACCCGTGACTTTGGCCCCTTCTTTGGATTTGGCATTGGCTGTCCTGCCGCGGCGTGGGTAATTGGGAATGCGCTGATTGGCTGACGCGTCATTCTTGACTTTCCTCCATTCCAACAGGGAAAGCGTGAATTACCAGATCAGTTGGAAAACACCTTCGCCGGTTGGCTTCACGCAGCTTGAAGGGCTATTGCATGAGAAGAGTCCCTTCAGCTGAGTTGTTCTGGCGGGACCAAGAAACTATCCTTGCGAGCCGCGAGGTTCCTGCCTTCGCAGGAACGACGAGCGTATCCTTGACGAGCCTTTCCCTGGCCCGAAAGCGTTTACCTCTTAACGCTTGCGGGAAACTAGACCCATATGTGGGGGCAGTGTTAAACTGCCACTGCTTATTTCAGAGTCTTTTTCAGGTAGTCGGCCCGTAGGAGGCTGTCCCATGGCTGAACCCCTGGTCATTTACGAGGTGGTGGATAACGTCGCTATCCTCAGGTTGAACAACCCCACACGACGGCACGCGCTGTCCAGCGAAGTGCTGGCCGCCCTGAAAGACCGATTGGGCAGCATTATGGAGGACTCCACAATTAAGGTTGTGGTGCTGCGTTCCGAAGGGCCCGTGTTCAGTTCGGGGCACGATTTGCGGGAACTGGTGGGTTCGGACGAGGAGAGTTACACCCACATTTTTGCCGAGTGTACCGAGGTAATGGAGGCCATACGCTTGTTGCCTCAGCCCGTAATTGCCCAGGTGCAGGGACTGGCTACGGCAGCGGGATGCCAGTTGGTCGCCACCTGCGATCTGGCGGTGGCTTCGGAGGATGCGGGTTTTTGCACTCCTGGCGTCCAGATAGGGCTTTTCTGTTCGACGCCGGCGGTGGCTTTGTCCCGCGCCGTCAATCCCAAGCAGGCCATGGAAATGCTGCTTACGGGCATCCCAATTTCGGCCAAGACTGCTATGGATTGGGGCCTGGTCAACCGGGTAGTGCCGGAGGGCCAACTGGAAGATTCGGTAATGCAGTTGGCCCGGCATATCGCCAAGGCCAGCGCTTACACCCTGGCAATAGGCAAGCAGGCCTTTTACCGTCAGCTCCAGGTTGACCGTCCGGCCGCTTACGATATGGCGCAGCGCACCATGGTTGAGAACCTGCTGGCCTACGATGCGCAGGAAGGCATTACTGCATTCCTGGAGAAAAGGGAACCGGAGTGGGCAAATTAGCTGAGCTACAGTTTCCCAATCGAGAACTTTCCAGTTGAGAACAAGGCTTTCGCGCAATCAGCGGACGATTCCCTGTTTCTCAAGTGATGATGGAGGAAGTAATGGCAGACGTACCCTTGTTTCCGGTAACCGTGGTGGGCAGTTGGCCCCGCCCCCCGGAACTGATTCAGGCCCTGCGGAGACGGCAAGCTGACGAGGTTTCCGAGGATGAGTTCAATGCCGTAGCGGATAAGGCGGTGATACAGGCGCTCAAAGAGCAGGAAGAAGCGGGCACTGACATTATCAGTGACGGCGAGCAGCGGCGGGACAACTTCTACTCCTACGTTGTCGGCAAGATTGCCGGCATGCAGCTGATGAAGGTCTCGGAACTGCTGGACTACGCAAAGGACCGGGCCCGGCTGGAGGAACAGTTGCGGGCTCTGGACGTGCCTGCTTTCGCCATTAAGAGTCCCATTGTGGTTGAGAAGATTTCGACCAGAGAAGGACTGTCCCTGGACGAACTGGCCTTCCTGAAGAAACACACGGATAAACCGATCAAGATACCCATTCCCGGCCCCTATATGCTGACCCGCTCAAGCTGGTTTGAGGGACTGTCCGACAAGATCTACCCTTCTCCTGAAGATCTGGCCAAAGACGTGGTGCAGATTCTGCGGGAAGAGACCATCAAGCTGCGGGACATGGGCGCCGACTTTATCCAGTACGACGAACCCATTCTGACCCAGGTGGTGCTGGGCGAAGAATCGAGCGAGACGTTTATGTGCGCCTCGCTTCCCCAGCGCCGCGACCCGACCACCGAGCTGGAGTTTGCCCTGCGCCTGATGAACGAGGTGGCGGAGGGCATCGAAGGGGTCAAGCTGGGTGTGCACGTCTGCCGGGGCAACTGGAGCCGCAAGGAAGAGGTGCTCTTGACTGGAAACTATGGACCCTTGCTGCCCTACCTGGTGCAGATGAACGTTGACCAACTGGTGCTGGAATGTGCTACGCCCCGCGCCGGAGAGATGGAAGTATTCAAGGAATACGCTAACGAGAAGGAGATTGGCCTGGGGGTGGTTAATCCGCGTACCGACGAGCTGGAAACCCCGGCCATGATCGTAGAACGGGTCAATGAAATGCTGGAGTATTTTGACGCGGACAAGATTTACCTGAATCCGGACTGCGGCTTCGGCACCTTCGCCGAGCGCAACATCAACACCTCCGAGGGCGCTTTCCACAAGATGAGAGTGATTGGCGAGGCGGCCCAGGAACTGCGCAAACTGCACGGCTAGTACGCAGTATTTCGACTGAAAACTATAAGGAGAAAAGGAAATGGCGACAGAAGAAGAACGCGATCTCAATGGCCTGCCCCGCGAAAAACTGGCCCAGGTCCTAGAGTCCTTCAAGGACCCGGAAGTTTTCAACGCCGTAACCGGCCCCTGGAAGTCCCGCATTGCGTGGCAGGGCGGGATGCGGGCCCGGGCCTACATGCGGAACCACCAGGTAGATATGGATGAGCCAGGCGACCTGACCGCGACCGACGTGGCCGCCAGCGCCCACGAGCAGCTTTTGTCGGCCATTGGCAGCTGCATGACGGTGGGATTTGTGGTCAACGCCACCAAGCAGGGTGTCCGAATCCATGACCTGGAAGTTGCGGTGGAAGGATACTTTGACAACATCCGGAAGTGGGCAGGAGTGGAAGACGAAGGCAACCCCGGCTATGGCCGCATTTCAGCCAAGTGTTTCGTCCGGGCCGACGCCGACGAAGACACTCTTAAGGAAATCTGGAGGCTGGCGGTTGAAGGCTCGCCGGTGACGCAGTCGGTAATCAACCCCACCAGCGTTGAAACCGACTTCGAGATGGTGGGATAGCGGCAACTTTTCCACGAAGGACACGAAGAGGCACGAAGGACCGTCAATGGTTCTTCGTGCTTATTTTTGCGCTGCAATAGGCACAGCAATTGGCGCTGCAACAGGAGAAAACATGGTCGAGTTCGTTTCCGCCGACTGGGTGGAATCACAGCTGGGTAGTCCCGACTTCCTCTTGGTAGATCCCCGGGGGCCCATGCGCTATATGCAGGGTCACCTGAGGGGGGCCGTCAATTTGCCGGCAGTCCGGCTGTTTGGCCGGGAAGGCAAACTGCTGTCCGTGTATGAGCTTGCCGAGTTCTTCGGTTCGGTGGGTGTGGGGGACGACACTACCGTAACTATGTACGACGGCGGAGATGGCCGGAACGCGGCCCTGGCGACATGGGCCCTGGCATACCTGGGTCACACAAACGTCCGCATAATGGACATCTTCTTCGAAACCTGGGCGGCGCAAGGTCGGGAGAAGCTGTACCGTCCGGTGCGCCCCACCGCGAACACGCTGGAACCGAAACTTAACCCCGAAGTGAGGGCTACGCTGGAGGATGTCTCGAGGGCGCTGGCTACAGATTCCAATGACGGCAAGGTGACATTGCTGGACCTGCGGAGCCTAATGGAGTTTGACGGGCTGCCGGACGTGGATGACCGCCCCGGACACATACCCGGGGCAGTTAACCTGGTCTGGCAGGAACTGGTGGACGGGAATGACAGCTACCTGGAGTCGCCGGAGGTGTTAAAGGGGAAGCTGGAGGCGAGGCAGATTGGTCCGGACAGCCCAGTGATAGCGTATTGCCGCAGTGGAATACGGGCCTCGGTGGGCTACCTGGCGCTGAAACAGTTGGGCTACGATGTGCGGCTGTACGACGGGTCTTACCTGGAGTGGATGAACGAGGGGATGCCGGTGGAAGAGACTGTGAAATAGGCGTTGCCTGGGAAGTCTTGATAGAGGGTCTGAAAAGAGGAAAAGCTGGAGCTGCGGCTCCGGTATCGTTACTTCTTCTACGTATGGACCGATGAGATACAAAAGGTAGAATGGCCTGTCTGCTACCACAACCACTACTTGGAATAGCAGGAGGGCATGGCATGACCAGTAACCTGGTAATCAGATCCAGTCTCTTACTGCTGATCGCCGCAACGGTGGTGGTGAGAAGCACCGTTACGGTGTCAGTCAGGGCCGACCAGCCCGGCTACCTTACCATTCCGACGTGGCCGGTGTTCTCGATGCTGTACGAGACTCCTGGGTTCTCCTATTCACGCGGAGAAGGAGAGTCGGTGACCGTCAGGGAAGTACACTGGCTGGACTACGTGTCCGCTACCCAGTGGACCAACACCGTCGTCGAGTCGCCCACCATCACCACCGCAGTGGGATCACACGACCGGGTGGGGCGCTACACCCGGCTAAGCGGCACCACCTACACCGAGTACGACGGCGCTGGTGCAGCGACACATACAGAAACGGTGGAGGAGGACACCACCCTGATCGTCGGCACCATGCCGGCACCATTCCCCATCGTGGAATCGGGGATAGTGACCACCAGCACTGACACCGTCGCCAAGGTGTGCTTCCTGGAGGAGTGTACCGTCAATGCCGATGGCGTCCTGTACACGATGGACAAGGGCAGTGAGTTCGTGTTCGTGGACGATGCGCGAGGGATCCCGCTCCGGGTAAACGAATCCTTCGTCGTGAAGGAGATCACCATCAGCGACGTGAAGCACCCTATCGTCCGGTTACCGGACCCAACGGACCCAAGGCAACCAGAGACCCTCACCTGCGATCGGGTGAGGGTCTTCTTTAATCAGGGCGTCTTCACAGTTTTTTAAGAAGTGCCACGAATCGGTTGTTGCCCCCTAGAAACCGGGCCGAAAAGCCCTGGTTGGGGAGAGGGATTTCGGCAGTAAAGCCGGCTTGAGCAGAATCACGGTCCACAGTATTCCGAGCCGGACCGCGCCGAAAATGGCCGCAGCATTGGCGACAACATCGTGGGAAACAGCCTGGACATCACTGGGGACATCACTGAGGACGTCGCGGTGGGCTTCCGCTCCGCCGCCGACACTGTCCGACAGCCCGATTTTGCCCGCCACCAGGGTCAGGTTGGCCACTGTAGCCGCCAGATACAGCTGGAATCGCGTCTTGACCCTGCCGAAATAGCGGGACTGCCGAATCCCCAACTGGACCAGTCGGGCCAACCGGTGTTCCACCGCCACGCGTCGCGCTCGATATTCGTCGTAGGCGGCGCTCTGCTGCAACGCCCGTGCCTCCTGCAGGATGCCTTCCTGGGGATGGATCAGCACCCGCCGTCCCTTCCTGCCTTTGGCTGCGATGCACTGAGAGCGCAGTGGACAGGTCCGACATACCGCCCCGTCGAACTGGAAGGCCCGCAAGCGGTGGACCTGCCCCGTGCCATCAGTCCGCTTCCCCGCCGGCACGATGGCGTGGGTGACCTGCCCCGCCGGACAGGTGCAACTGCCCGCGGCCAGGTCGATGACAAAGTCATCCTTGGGAAAGCGCTTCCGGTCGGGCCGGCCTGGCACCCGGGCTACCAGCTTGCGGCCCGCGTCGGCGAAGGTCTGCCTGGTAGCTCCGTCGCCATAGGCGGCGTCGCCCATGGCTTCTGCCACCGGCAAACCGGTGTTGGCCTCGCTCTGTTCTACCAGTTCCAGCGCCCCCAGGTTGTCCGGAGCGTTGCCGGGCAACACCGCCACGGCGGTGATCAGCTGGGAATCGGTATCCACGACGATGGCCGCCTTGTGCCCGTCAAAGCGCCGGCTGCTGCTCTTGTGGCCGTGGCGCATCTCCGGGTCGTGCACCGACATCATCCGGTCCCGACTCACCCCGTCCTTGAGGCTCACGCCGTCATCGCCGTCGCCGTCGCCGCTCTTGCGCTCAATGTCCTGGAGCAGCAACTGCCCCAGCAGTTCCGCCGCCGTCACGATGTGCTGCCGCTCCTCACCATTCTCGGGCAACTCCCCCTGCGCCTGCCGCGACAGCTCCAACAACCGGTCCGCGTCTCTCACAATCTCGGCCAGCAGGCTCTGCCGCGCCCGTTTGTCGCTCCAGTCGATGGCGGCCTCGCCCTTGACGCTGGAACCCAGGTACCCCTCATATCCCTGGGCCTTGCCCCATTCTTTGACGCTAGACTTCTCCACGGCCGCCAGCGCACGCATTAATTTGACGATCCCGTCGGCCAACAGGTTGCAGGTGTCCTTGACCGCGCCCCGCCCCAGGATGTTGGTCGTGTCCAGCGCCACCCTCATGCTCCGCCTTTTCAGATATCCCGACTCCCGGGCCTGCCGCAGGCTGGACTCGAACACCTCCCGCACCCGGTCGTGCAGGATCAGCTGGGCGCGGAACACCTGCAATGTGCTCTTGGCAAAGGGCCGGTCCTCCACCTCAATCCCCAGGGCCACCTTCCACCGGAGGTCGAAGTCAGCTCTGGCCTTGGCCTCGGCGTCGCTCACCTTGTCGTGGGACTGGAGCAGCAGCGCCGTCGCCAGCAGGCTGGGCGGCACGCTGTCCCGGCCGTTGTCCGGGCAGTAGAACTCGGCGAAATCGGCGTCTCGGAACAACCGGCCCCGCAGCGAGGCCAGCAGACCGTAGAAGGTGTCCCGCCCCACGTGGTCCAGGTACAACCGGTCCGCTTCCCAGAGACCCCTCTGATCGGATCGCTCTCCCAGCACTATCATTCCTCGCTATTTCTTGATGCCCCAAGTATAGCTGACCACCCGGCTGAAGCCAGTTTCCGGCCAGATTTCTAGCAAATATGCTACGTTCGCTGTACCAGGGCTAATCGACAAATAGGGGTAATATCTGGTTGAGTATAGATTTGAAGACAGAGGGCGTAGGGTATGCAGATGCATAGACGCCGTCCTACTCCTTCCGGAACCGCAGATGAGCCCAGTTCGGAAATTGCTTCCTCGTGTATCACGGTGCAGTTCAGCCTGCTCCCATTCAGCCTGCACCCAGATCGAGGCCCAGAAGACGTTGTGCGTTGCCATGGTTGATCAACTCGCGGTCGGACTCTGGGCAGTCCAGTCCGTCGACCATCTCGTTGAATATCTCAAAGTTCGGATGGCCGAAGGGGTGGTCGGTACCGTAGAGCAGCCGGTCCGCCCCGAACATCTGGTAGCAGTATTCCAGGGCAGCCGGACTGTGGGCTACCGTGTCCACGTACAGCTTGTCGAAGTAGAGCTGGGAGGACTGGTCCAGGTCGACCCAACCTTCAGGTGAGGTCCATTCGTCGATCATGCGGCCCACGCGGCCACGGATGAAGGGGACGAAGCCGCCCGTATGCGGGACGATCAACTGCAGGTCCGGGTATTCCTGAAAGACACCACTCATCACCAGACGCACCGTGGCCAGGGCAGTATCGAACATGAAGGCCATTCCAGGAACCAGGGGCCGCTGGTCGATACCGTTCATGTTAATGGGGGCCGTAGGGTGCATGTTCATTGGCACCTCCAGGCTCTCGATATGCCTGTAGACCGGCCAAAATTCCTTGCTGTCCAGAGTCTTCTGGTTGATGTTGGAAAAGAGATAGACGCCTTTGAAACCCAACTGTTTCACGCACCGGTCGATCTCGGCGATGGTGTGCTCGGTGTTGTGCCAACCCAGAGTGACCCAAGCTTCGAATTTGCCTGGGTGGGTCTGCATCACTTCGGCGAGGTGGTCGTTGATGCGTGAAGCCCAGGCGTCGGCCTCCGGACTCCCAGCAACTCCGGCCCCGGCATTCCGTGGCTCAGCACCGAAACGGCTATATCAAGGTCCTCCATATCTCGCAGTTTCTGATCGACATCGGCGTGGGACAACGGTGAAGCGTGCTGATACCCGCCGGTGCAACTCACGAAATAGGTCCCGCCTCGAAGGACACCCTGGGGCATGGAACTGCGGCCGGAGAGGTATTCCAGATATGGCAAGTAGACCAGGTGACTGTGGACATCGATGCGCATTAGTTTCCTCCCGTTCTCATCTAAAATAGGGGCGCGTTTCCTAGCCATTCAGGAACGCAGAGTTGTAGCTATACGGAAGGCTTGAGGCCAAAACCGGATGAGTGACCGCACCCGGACCTCCGCCCTCACAACGGACAAAACGGCTTTGACCAGGTCTTAACCCACCTGCGCCAGGCCCCCTCTCCGGCCCTTCAGGAGATCCAGGAGGCCATGGCAGCCTTCCTGGAAGAAAAGAGCTGCCGGAGCGTCGCGGAGAACATCCTGGAACACCTGGACGACCACGGGGCGGCTTCTGGCTTGCGCCGTGGCCTGGATCTCGGCGGTCGACGGCGGCTCCAGTATGCCTCCGTGGGTAATTCATCATTGGCCGAACGCCCCTGACAGCTGTGCGGCGGGACTACTCGGTTGGGGCAGAGCCCAAAACCTTATAACCGCGGTTTTCCTCTGTCCTCTCCGAGACGGGCAACACCTCCACCACCACGTTGGAAAGGCCCACCACCTCTCCCTTTTCGTCGAAGCTGTAGTCGTCTCCTATCGCCCCGCTCCAAGTGATCTCGTACAGGCAGTCGCGGAACCCTTCCGCGTCCTGGTCATCGTTCGTTTGCTCCAGGCACTGGGCGGCGATGTACACATCGTCGTACCCGGAACCCAGGTACCACTCCAGCGTGGTGTAGTCGTAGCGATTTCTGAAGTTGGCAAGTACCTCCTGGCCCTTGGCATTTGCAGGGTCCAGGTCCGCGATAATCGCCTTGAGACCCGTCGCGGCTTCGCCCGCTATCTGCAGGGCGGTCGCCCCGACCGGTACTATCTCCGAGTAGATCGTCCCCTCGTATCCGAGTTCCTTCGCCTGCTTTATTATCGTGCCACCGTTGGACTCCGACTGGGCGGCGAGGTGCACCGCGTCAGGGTCTTCTCCGAGCAACTTGGTGAGCTGGGTCCGAAAGTCGATGGTGTCTGAACCGTAGCGCTCCTCGGCAGCAACCTCGCCGCCCAGCTTTTCGAACTGCTCGACTGTTGTCTGCCTGACTCCCTCGGCGTAGTCGGTTGTCTCAGTTATCGTCGCCAGCTTTCGAACGCCATCGGCCCACATTACGTTGCCAGTGTCTATGCCCACCTGGGAGTCGCTCATCGCCGTCCTGAAGATGTAGTCACTTGCCTCGGCTATGTCAGGGTTGGTCGCAAGGCCCGAAAACAGGATTACTCCGTCCTGTTCTGCCAACGGGGCCGCTCCCAGCATCGCGCCGCTGCAGGAGGTGCCCAGGATAATTTTCACGCTGTCCACACTCGTCAGCTTCCTGTAGGCGGTTATCGAGTCCTGCGCGTTGCACTTGGAGTCCTCGACGACCAGCTCGAGCTTCCGTCCGTTTATGCCTCCGGCAGCATTGATCTCGTCCATGGCCATCTGCTTGGCCTGGTTGGATACCGTGCCGTAGGTCTCACCCGCGCCGGTGAGTGATTCCATTACCCCTATTCTGAAGGGTTCATCGTCGACACTCTCGCCGCCGCACGCTACGACGACCACCGCAACCAGCGCCACAAAAGAACAACACACCATCCAACGTTTGACCGGTATTCGCATGTCTACCTCCTGCACGGCCGATTGCCTTCAAATTTTTAGGAGACCAATCGAGGGGAAAGCTCCCCTCGTGACCTGCTTACTGCCTCTTGTATCCACTGACTTGTGCCCGCCCCCTTCGGATTGCAAACCCCGGAGATAACCTACGTGAATCTATTACAATGACTTCAGTTACATCACACTAGAATACCGGCCTGGAATTCCCTGTCAACAGAGATTTGGTCGATGTTCCGGTTACTTTTGAGGGCACAGACGGTCCCTGGCCTACCGTTGACGGCCCCGGAGGAGGAACCTATGCTGGCATCAACCTCCACCTACCTTAGCCCGAATCCACCGAAGGAGTGGTAATTAAAGGTCTGATGAAAGGGTGAAAGGGTGCTCCTCTGAATCTGGGATAATGGTTTTTGTACTGAAAACCGCCCCGAAACAAGGAGCACCCAATAGATGCTACCACGCAACCACCCCGACGGCATCCAAATTACCTTCGACGACCACCGCCTGGTCAACAACGCCGGGCTGATCCTGCCGGCCACCCTCGCCCAGCACCTGGGCCTGCCCCAACTGGTTGACCGGCATCTGGACCTGGGCCGGCCCCAGGCCGGGCCAACGCCGGCGACAAGATGATGACGCTGGTGGCCTCCGCGCTGGCTGGCGGCGACTGCATTGACGACGCCGATGCGCTGCGCGCGGGGCGGACCTCCTCGGTGCTGGGGTGCACGGTCAAGGCGCCGTCCACCCCCCCGCCTTCGCGGGGGCAGGCTCTGGGGACCTTCCTGCGCAGCTTCCGGTGGGGCCACGTCCGCCAGCTGGACCGGGTGGGCCGCGAGTTGCTGGCCCGGGCCTGGGCCGCTGGGGCCGGACCCGGCGACGCACCATTCACCATCGACCTCGATTCCACCATCTGCGAGACCTACGGACTGGACAAGGAGGGCGCCCGCCATCATGGTTACACTGGCCAGCGGGGCTATCACCCGCTGCTGGCCGTGGCCGCCGGCACCGGCGACGTGCTGATGTCTCGGCTGCGCGAGGGCCGCGCCAACACCGCCCGGGGCGCCGCCCACTTCCTGCGTGAGACGGTGGGGCGAGTGCGCTACGCTGGGGCCAGGGGGCAGCTCACTATGCGGGCCGACAGCGGCTTCTATACTCATAGCGTGGTATCTGTCTGCCGCAAGCAGAAGGTGCGTTTCTCCATCACCATCCGCCAGCAAAAAAGCCTGCACAATCTGATCGAGGCGATTCCCGAGGAGGACTGGACCCCGATCCCCTACTGGATGGACGGCGCCGCCGATGTGGCCGAGACCACCTGCACTCCCTTCCAGAGTGAGCCGGACGCCGCGCCGGTGCGGCTCATCGTCCGGCGGGTGCAGCCCACGCCCGGCTCCCAACTGGCCCTCTTCGCCTCCTACAGCTATCACGGCTTCATCACCGACCGGGACGGGGAGATGCTCGAACTGGAGGCCGACCATCGCCGCCACGCCGAGATCGAGAACGCGATACGCGACCTCAAGTACGGCGTCGGGCTGAACCATCTCCCCTCGGGGCGCTTCGCCGCCAACGCGCCTGGCTGGCGGTACAGGTGATGGCCCACAACCTTGTATGGTACGTAGGGATGTGACAGACCGATCCAACCTGGGTTGAAGAAAACCGTGGGCCAGCAGGGTCGTCGCATCCTATCCTGATAGAGCCCGAACAGTTGCCGGGGCCAATTGCGCCCGCATCATGCAAGGAAGGGCCGACGTTAACACAGGAGTACCGATGAAGGAGAACCGATGGAAGAGAACCGAGATTCGTAGGCATTGATGTCTCAAAGGCGCAGGTGGATGTTGCAGTCCGGCCTACGGGAAAGAGCTGGGTTGTGACTTACGATGAGACCGGAATCAAGGAATTGGTCTCCCAGATGGTGGATCCAGGTCCGGCCATGGTGTTGCTGGAGGCAACGGGTGGTCTGGAACTGCCGTTGGTGGCCGCTCTCGCTGCTGCGGCGCTGCCGGTGGTGGTGGTCAACCCGCGCCAGGTTCGCGACTTCGCCAGGGCTACCGGTACCCTGGCCAAGACCGACTCTCTCGATGCGGCGGTCCTGGCTCACTTCGCCGACGCCGTTCGTCCCTCGGTGCGCCCCCTCAGAGACGCGGAGACCCAGGTCCTCAACTCGATGACTGCCCGCAGGCACCAGGTGTTGACCATGCTGGTCTCGGAAAAGAACCGGCTGGGTACTGCCATCAGCGCGGTGCGTCCCCGCATCGAATCCCACATCGCCTGGTTGGAACAGGAGTTGAGCGACTTGGACAAGGAGTTAAGGCAGTCTCTTCGCCAAAGTCCAGTATGGCGCGAGAAGGACGAACTGCTGCGCGCCGTTCCCGGCGTGGGGGAGCAGCTCTCTCTCACCCTGCTGGCCGACCTGCCCGAGCTGGGCACGCTGGACCGACGGCAGATCGCGGCCTTGGTGGGCGTGGCGCCCTTCAACCGGGACAGCGGTATCTTGCGAGGCCGACGCGCCGTCTGGGGCGGACGCTCCCGGGTTCGAGGCGTTCTCTACATGGGGACGCTGACCGCGACCCGTTACAATCCCGTCATCAGAGACTTCTACCAGAGGCTGCTGGCGGCCGGTAAGACGAAGAAAGTGGCCCTGGTCGCTTGTATGCGCAAACTGCTCACCATCCTAAACGCTATGGTCAAAAATAGCTCTCCATGGCGTGGTTCGTGTCCCGCGGAAATTGCCCATCCCTCTTGACAGCCAACACAGTTGCTGGCCCGCTGGACGGCGCGCATCGGTCTCGGTGAGCAGATCGTGACCACCAAGACCCTCCGGCGACGCTTCTTCTCCCTGGCCGGACGGCTCACCCGCAAGGCACGCCGCCTCACCCTGCATCTGCCCCAACAGTGGCCCTGGGAAACCCAGTTCAGTCGTGCCCTGGCCCGGCTGCGAGCCCTGCCACTCCCGTCCTGACGTCCTCGCCGGCAATCGGCGTGCCGACCTCACCCTTACCCACCAGCCAACCGAAGATTCCCCAACACCTCGCCCCAGACCGGCCAGCGAGCTTCTCCTGCTGCGTCCTGTCCCTCAGTGAGTGGCTCGACACGACCACCGCAGACCATTTACCGACGCCAAAGATCCAAAATCAACCGGGACAGTCGCTCCTCTGGGTCCCTTATACCCTGCTCCGCCATCTCTACCACCCCCTTCGGTGGATTCGGGCTTAGGGATACAGGTGAACTTATGGAGATCAAAGACCTGATTATCGACGACCGGCAGAGGGGAAGTTTCAGGGTCCACCGGCCGTCCATGACCTCCCCGGAACTGTTCCAGCAAGAACGGGAGCTGATATTCAACCAGTGCTAGATCTACCTGGGACACGGGTCTGAAGTGGAGAGCCCCGGGGACTACCGCCGGCGCACCGTGGCGGGTCGGCCGCTTTTCTTTGTTCGCGGCGGAGACGGTCAAGTACGGGTGTTCCTCAATTCCTGCCCCCACCGGGGCGCTCTGATCTGCCGCCGCGACGCGGGGAACGCTGAGGTCCTGCAATGCTTCTATCACGCCTGGTCTTTCGACACCAACGAGAGCTGATCGGCGTCCCCGGGGCAGACGCCTACGGGCCCTGCTTCGATCGGGGAGAGCTGGGCCTAAAGCAGCCACCCAGGGTCGAAAGCTACCGGGGCTTCTACTTCGTGAGTTTCAACCCCCATGTCGAAGATCTGGTTACCTATCTGGCCGGTGCAAAAGAGTACCTTGACCTTATCGTGGACCAGGCCGAGGAGGGGATGCGGGTGATTGCCGGGTCAAACAGGTACGGTACGAAGGCCAACTGGAAGCTGCTGGCAGAAAACAGCCTGGATGGATATCACCTGGTCCCGACCCACAGGACCTACGTGGACTACATCGCCGGTCTGGGAACAGACGACAGCGGGGACACGATGGCCGCCCGTCCCCCAGGCAGAGCCAGAGCCCTGGGCACCGGTCACTGTGTGGCGGAGAATGTTGCCCGCAACGGCCGCCCAATTGCCCACTGGCACCCGCTGTACGGCGAGGAGGCCAGGGAGCCGATAGAGCGAGTCCGCCAGCGGCTGGTGGAGACGTACGGGGAAGAGCGCGCCTACCAGATGGCCGATACCTCTCGAAACCTGCTCATCTATCCCAACCTGATTATTAACGACATCGTGGCCATCACCATAAGGTATTTCGAACCCCTGGCCCCCGACAGCATGGAGGTGACAGCCTGGCACCTTGTCCCTAGAAATCTGGCCGGAAACTGGCTTCAGCGTGGT